GGTCATACTATTTCACTAAATTCTTATAAATTTCAAAGTCTTCCATCAACATTAATGAGCATAGCACTACATTTATGTATCTAGAACAGTAGGGCTCTGTCCCTCCTATTCCTGTCAAGCCTCTGTGAAAATGAGATTCACCCCCCTTGTACTGCTTTTTAGGAGCAGCAGTATCTGCTGAAAAGAATAGCATTGAACACAGATGGACATCTTCCATACAAATCTGTTTCAATAACACAGTGAGCAATTACTGTTAGAGAGACAGTTTCTTCAGATAATTAGATACTTAAAAATTGAAGTTGTTTATGTTTATATAAGCAGTGAAATTATAGACAGAATTATGCAAACAAATCCATCATGGACCATGAGCTCCTGTCAGGTTGCTAATGAAGGTAGAAAGCAGCAATCTTTCTTTATAAGGTTCTCTAATGACCACGATAACAAACCAATTTTGTTTTTAGTGCTGCACATTTCCCTTCCCCCATTTTTTTTCCCACTAAGTATCAGCTTATAGTGACAAATGCTTTCAGAAGAGAAAGAGGATAAAAGAGGCTTGAAGTTAACACTCTTCAATTATGCTGACACTGAAATGATTAAATTAAACAAAAATTCCGTATTTCATTGTCTATTTGACTCTGATGCCTACCTAAAAAAAATTTATGGACTCTGTTAAGGTACATTTTGTCTTCACTTAAAATTTGTTTCAGAGGTGCATTTAAGAGACAATTACCTCTTCTACTTTACTGGAAGCTGTAAAGGCTTATAATACTGCTCTCCATCAGGAACATTTTCTTCAAGACAAACACTTGCTGTTTACAGAAGATCCATGAGCACTGGTTAAGAAAGGATTGTACACCCAAGACAATGTTCAGGTATTCACTTTCCTCATATTAGGACTTTCTTTGCCTACTGTACACAAGCAAATATGTGGCTTTTAGGAAAAAAAATAGAGACATTTCCTATTCTCTCTGAGTATTCTCCTGATATCTGGGCCCTGAAACAGGTTATAATGGCATTATTTGTTGATTCTTGAATTTATGAGAAATCCTAACATCCTTACATTAATTGCCAGAATTACAGAACAACAAATTATGTCAAATAGCATCTTATTTTGTTTGGAAATATTATAGTGTAAAGTTTTGGCAGGAAAACTTACTATCAAAGCACTATAGCTACATAAAGATCTACTAAAGATCTTAGCTTTAATCTCCTCAAAAGATTATTTCATTGCTGATGCAAAACACACTCCACAGACATTTACCTTACAACTGCATGATGAATCAAGCTAACAGCCTCTTAGAACTAGGCCCAAGCAAGAAGATAAATATTATTTTATCCATAAAATTTCTGTTGCACTCTGAAATTATCTGGAACATGAGGCAAACATACAACAATGAACCAGAGAAAGAAAAAAATAATGTAATTTGTTGCAGCTTGTTCATTTGTGAACAGCAATAAGAGTTGCATATCCGAAGATAATACTCATGTATTTATCCCGCTCATACTTATGAAGCACTTCAGAGATGAAAAATCCTCAAAGTGCTCAGCATTTGCTAAAATAGGAGAAAATAGAGACACAGATATAAAATAAAACATTGCTGACTTCTTCTGTCATGACAAAATAGAAATAATTACTGATTTATCATCAATACATCTCTATTTTTCTACTCAGACAGTAACTAGGATCAGTCTATCAAAATAGAGATAATTACTGAAGAATGAAATACTGATGATGCCAGACATGCAATTTACAGAGTACTGCTAGATGCAAATACAGAAATAATATTTTCTTCCATGTACTTCCAAAACTGGGCACTCCACAGTATCACCTGTTACAGAGGGCAGCAATGGTTTAAACAGCAACATACCCAAATGGTTTGAAAAACGAGCATACTGTTTTTGAGAATACCTGCCTGAACACACCTTAAGAATCCACATTGTATGTATGCCATGGTGTGACAGACACCAGCTCAACCCTGGCCTCACCCAATGGCAACACTTTGAAAAACTTTGCACTGAGCAGCTCTGAACACGAAAATGGTGCAGAAAAAGCATAACGAAGAAAAGCAACAATGGCATGAGTGAAACAAAAGTATTTCTGTTTACACTGATACCACGTTTTGGCTCAAACAGAAATGAACATAATTCAAATGGCAGACATTTGCACAAAAAATCTTCATGGAGGACACTGTACTAGGCTTTTGCCAGAAATGGGTCACTTATGTTCTCACATAAGCCAGCACTTAGGCAAATAAAAATAAAAAGGGTAAATAAACACACAAAATGTTTTCAGCCTTCTCTCCAAATGATTTATTGCTGCCAGAGCTCTAATCTAATTTTAGGTGAGCTCATCCTTCTTTCTGCCCTGGAGCCATTTTAACTCAATATTGCTCTCCTTCCAGAGCCACAAGAGAGTACAGGCTCCCTCAGCCACCACAGATGCTGTGCAGATATTTTACTTTAGCTGTTTGCTGTAAAAGTCATCAATATCTCTTCATCCTGAAGAGACCTTTTCTAACAAAAATGAAAACAAATTGCTAACATTAGATGAAACTTTGACCTCTGCATCCCAAAGTAGGGGAAGTAAGATCTGAACTCCTTGTTGTTGCTTTGAAAGCTTCCAAAAGCTCCTCCAGGCAGGCAGACTTTTAATTTTAATAAAGTATTTCCTGAGCTGCCAGGCTGAGGTTCCCTCTTGCTCGCCCTGCCATCCCGCAGGTCCGGGGAGCCAAGCTGGCTGCCTGCACTGCAGCCGTCCTCTCTCTGAAGCAGCAGCAAGTGATGTGAGGTCTTTGGGGAAACCATTTCAGAAATCATGTTTTCATCTGCCTCCTTCCCATCTGTTCACCTTTCCCATTCTGAGTATTCCTGTACTATACTCTGTTTCACAAACGCTATTTTCCATCATAGCTTCTTGTTCTGGTCTCTCGCTATCCCTGGCTCCTCATGTGCTGATCTGAAGCTAAGTCTGTGTGGGAAGGAAAATGGAAGTCTGAAACACTTGCTTGTGGATTGCTATTTTCTGATCATACACAGCTATTTGTTTCCCAAATACCAAGAGATGCAGTAAATCTGAACGATTCTTACACCACCACCAAAACAAGATCAGTAGGGAACTGCAATCTGCTCCTGTCACACTTACCACACGCTGGGACCGTGACTAGGGAAAAGGATGTATCAGAGGCCAAAGGGATGAACTAGCATACAAAATTGTTCTCAGACATGTCTCAAGATCTGAGAATAGCTAAACACTTAAAATCATCACCACAGCAGGGAGTCTAAACTGTAGACACAATGTTTTCATTTTTAAACAAGAGATAAAAATAATACTTCCAACTGAGCAGGCAGCTCAAAGAGCAGATTGCAGGAAAAGACCAATGTGCTAGAGATTTTACACAAACTCCTTGACTCGTGTTTTCCAAACGTAAGGAAAACGATGCAGTAAACACTGAAACAAAATTAGCATTTGCATCTCTGCGTTGTCTGCACTCAACAGTTCCTGTGCTACAATACATCTTTAAAACTAGGATCTTCTCTGGAACATCACTCGTTCATCAGACCATCTCTTGTGTATATCACTTACCATACTCTCCACTAGGCTATAGATGTAGCATTAAACTGATAAATATGGTTTTATAACAACACAGTAGATCTAGATAATGTCATCTAAGTTGATTTGCACTTTGTTTCAAGGATCCACTATATAGAGATAATAAATATGGTACCAGACTGTCAGGCAGGAGAAGCTAGAAGAGACAGATGACCTTTGTGCAATACTTCTCCCTCTTCTCTCTCAGGAATGTATAATATGAAAGTATGAAAGCAGACACAGTCAGTCACCACTGACACTGACCAAAATGTCACCAATTTTATTAGAACACAGAACAGCATAAAAAAAAGGTAATGAATTGCTTAGTTATAGCTGTGTTTGCCGTGTCTTTGTCTCCCTGAGCGCCTGAGAGAGTGGAACAAAATTGCCAGCAGTCACATTATGGAGACAGGTTGACAAGCTGGATGACCCCATAAGTCTTGTTCACATCTCATGTCTGGGCTCTTGACTTGCATCTTAAATGACTTCCATATCAAGGCTATTGCAGGGAATCTGCTTTGCCATTCTAAAGGGTTTCTGCCAAACTGAGATCGAATGATGAATGCTTTGTTCTACCTGGCACATCTGGAAAAACAAAACCCACCCCTCCACCTCCTCCCCCTACGCCTGGAGTTACTGTTTGAGACACCCTATGAGGGAAGGTGTGCACTAAAGAAACAGACAGGAAATAAATAAATAAATTTAAAAAAATCTCCAACACCAGAATTGTTTATTCCCTTGAAATACGATGACTCCTTGACTACCACAATTCCTGCTCTCTCCCAACACGCACCAGCCCAGCTCCCCCTCTGTCCCTCTTACTCTGGAGTGATCCAGGGTGGCGTGACACAGCAGGAAAAGAGACCGGTTCACTGTGAGACCTGCTACTCACTCTCTTACAGTGTAACGGCCCCCCTTCCAGCCGCACTGCTGCGGGCAGCCGCTCCCCACGGCGCCAACCACGCACAGCCCTGCTGCTCCTTGGCACAGGCGCAGCACAAGGTGTGGAGAACAACCGGCCCCTTCTGCATCACAGCAGGCCTGCCCACCACGTAGGGTGGTACAAACACTTGAGGAGCTCCCATGACAGAGGGCAGCCACAATGGGTGGCTTGAATGTGCACTGTGACTGCTCACACCATCTCCCTTCTCAGCTCTCTCTGTGCCCAGCACTTGGAGCATGGACAATGAGGACTCTGCATGCAGGACAGCAGAGATGGAGGATGCAACCCCTGCTCTTCCATTGCTCGGGATGTCCAAACAAAAGGTTTCTCAATTTCTAATTTCCAGTGTATTTTCAAACAGAACTGCAACCAGCTTTCTTCTCTGCTGTTCAATTAGAGCACAACCAACAGGTTTCACCTGCAAAGGCACTGCAAGCAGCTGAAGAAATGAGTACCAGATGTACATACCTGCTTGCTGGGCAGTCTGGGGGATCTGTTGACTCCGCTGTGCGTTGTACTGAACTGAGGCAATGGGTCTGTACTGCTGAGTTGTTGAGGTAGGGTACTGACCAGATGGGTAATAATAGACTGGCATCTGCAAAGAAAGAGAACAGTAAACTCTAGAGATCAAAGATTCATAAAATAAAACAAAACAGGGAGGGGGAGCAGAAGTTCAAATCAAGCATATTAGTGGTAATGGCAATCAAGAGAAGAGGTTTCCCTCCTGTCTCTTCAAGAATTGCTGTTGTGCTAGGAAAAGGACTATCAGTGCCCACATTTATTTTCAGATCCTTCAAGAAATAGGAAAAAAAAATGTTAATTGAAAGAGAAAAAAATATAGGATTCATAAAAAGCTACACATATATACCAAAGAAAAAAAATCACATAACATTTTATCTCAGTAACATATCAAAAGCTGCAGAAAAATAGATGCAAACAACACCTTCCATATCAACCTAACACATACAGACAGCATGTTGAACCATTAAAGGAACTCTGGACAAAATGGTCCAGTCAAAGCAAGGAATGGCCTGGAGCACAAACATGTAGAAACAAGTTGGAGATCAAGATGGAGTGTGGCATCCCTAACACTTGTAAGGAAATTATAAGATTGATGCTTCTGTTTAACGTGTACATCCCTCCTTACATTAAGATTTCCCTCTAAAGCTTTTCTTGCTCTTGTTATGAAAACAATTACAGTTCAAAAAATAATCATAGATGTTTTCTTGCAGAGGCTGAGGATAGGCATTAAGCCAGCAAGTTCTGCTAGATGGGCTTCTTTTTTCTTCTATTATTATTGCCATTACAGGGAAACGTGTACTACATCTCCTTATCACACAGGTGAACATGAAAGTTTGAGGGTGACTGGAGCAAAAGATTTTTCCTATACTTGCCACACCAGTGTTACTGAGACAGCTTTCAACTGACCCTTCACAAGTTCAAAGCACTCAAAATTTTTCATTTTCAGCTGTCAGGGATACTTAAGGCATCTGATAGAGTTTGGCAATGTATGGTATGAACAGACTGCAGAGGGACACAGGCTTGGGAGAACATTGCTTTTCTCTCAACTTCTGCCACAGCAGTCAGCATTTCTTAATAAATCATACAATTTTTTTTCTCACTTTGTGCACAGCATTTATCCTACATAGACATATGCACAGAGTCAGACCAAAAGCTTTTATTTTTTTCATGCAAAAACAAGAACTATTTTCGCTGCTTTTATCTGCATGGAAGAAATATTCCTGATACAGATCATTCAATTTGATCATCCATAAAGTTAGCAGAGTAAAGGTAACTACTGCTAGGACATCATAAGAGAGATCAGAAATTTTTCTTGGAAAATTTCCAGCTTCAGATGAGGAAAAAAAAAATGGTGTAGACACAAAAGACTAGACAAGAATAGGCTATGGATTGCTATTTGGGCAAGTAGAAGCCTACTGAATGGGTAACTGGTGGGAGAAGGGTTAGGATTAACAAAGCCAAACTGGGTGGTGTCAGTGAAGTTAACTCCCAGACCAACTGACAGGCAAAAGCATCTGTCAATCAAGAGGCTGAACACTCATCCATTGTTCAAGGTCTATTAATTTGCTTTTCAAAACAATTGATTTTTCCCCCTCTGCTTATATCAGCCTGAGTCTAACAAGTATGAGAAAAACAAGGTTTTGACTGGAAAATGTTGTAAGCTACCCTCCCTCCAGACAATACCAAGTGACACTTAATGGCCTGCCCTCAAGCCATTTGTTTTGTTAGTGACTAATGTAACAAAACCAAAATGCCTTTGTAGAATGGACACCACCATTATGAATTTGTTTCTCTGCAAAGAAAAGCCACAAGGAATAGGAAGGTGGGCCCACACATTTAAGGCACAAAATCATTCTTTAAGCAGTATAAACTATGGATCAGGAAAGTTTAGTGTGATAAACTCATCTCGTGGACAGCTGATTGCTCTCAGCAACACTCTGCTACAGGAGGCTTGAAAGAAATGAGGAGACCCACTCTAAGTCAAGTCAATGCAAATATTTGATCCAGACTTGGAGCAGGGGAACAGAACAGACATTCTTTCAAATATTCTTTATTTTCTATTAACATATTCTACAAACCAAAGAATATTAAACCCCTGTGGAAATGCTCTCACTTATCCTGCCAGCAGCTTAATATCACTTAAAGGATTTATTTTATCTACCCTCCACTTCCTCATTTTCCAGTGCAGACAAGCCCCTAGATATTTAAAACAACATGAGCACTTGGGAAAAATAAGAATTATCTCTTTGGAAATGATTCTGTAGGTATTAACCTTAAAACATAACCTGAAGAATCTAAGTTTTGAAGTCAGGTTTATAGTTGAACCAGCTGAGCAAAAAAATATATACACTGAAGCATACACTCCTTTATTTTTACCACACACATAAAACCTCAGCATTAGTGAAAGGGTTCTCTCCCTTGCTCTCATTTTCTCGATTCATTGGAGTACATTTGTTATGCAACCCACTTAAAAGTTTATGAGAATGCAATCTATCAGCATGAAAAAAACGTTAGTAGTAGAAGGGCAAAAAAAAAATTTCACTTATAAATATTAATGAAAGAATTGGACAGTAGTCATGCACACATGACATGAAAACAAGAGGTTTGGCTTTTTTGGGATTAGTTCTTTTGGTTTTGTGTCTATGTGTGTTTTGTTGTTGTTTTTGCTTTTGTTAGCTCAGTTTTTGTTTGGTGAGGGGGCAGGTTTGTTTTTTAAAAGCTCACACATTAAAAGAAGGGCTTGGTGTAAAATATAGACATAATCTAAAATAGGTCTTTTATGCTTGAGGGGCTTGGAAGGATCCATTCTCATTTATCTTGAGTACATCTCTGTGTTAGTAGTTGAAATGTTATTTTTCCTTTCTGATTTTACTTTGGTGAACAGTGGAATTAGAGGGATCAGAGATAACAAGTATCACTTACATCATCTGCTCTGATCCTCTTGAATTTTTTACCTTCTCATCACATCAGTGTTACTAAAACGTTTACTTATGTGCTCTTCAACAAAAAACATTACATTTCTGTAGCAGCCAGCCAACATGCCAAATTACACTTGAGTTGCATTCCCATGTGAAATGCACAATCCAACCTTCCACCTTTTGCTTGTAAAACATTTTCTTTACAGAACCAGAAGGTTTCCATGGCACTAACAAGCATGCCAATGAAGCTGTATGGTTACCCTAAAACTAAAATAAATTTACCAAAAAAATTCACTTCTAAGACTATAACCTAAATAAATACCACCTTCTTTAGTTTAAAAGCATAGTTTTTTGATCTTAATCCTTGACACTGTGGAAAATAATTTTTTAGTATGATTTTTAATAACTACCTTGTTTGTAGGCTGACCATTCCACTGCATTCTAGTTTTTCTCTCCTATACAACATTTTAACTTAAATGGGAATGGGACTGGGCGTGTCACTTCAGAGACGCTCATGAAATGGCACAGTCAGACATTACTTTCTCCTCTTTCTAACGTGCTTTGTCCCTAGATGATGTGCAGAGACTCAGCGCAGCACTGGTTTTTGCTTTGTTCTGTCCACATACAGCCTGGAGCCATTATGAGGCTGGGTGTCTCCCTGGCTGCTCTCCAGCAGCACCCATGACATTCACATTATGAGGCTGGGTGTCTCCCTGGCTGCTCTCCAGCAGCACCCATGAAATTCACTGGTACTCTGTTTATTTTTGTTTATTTCCTTGTGGCAGGGTCAGGAGTCCACACACACTTCAGGATGACTTTACTTTCATAAACTGCCTTCTACTGGCTTACAGCTTGATTCAGCCATTGGACTGGTACTCTACCTTCTCTTAACAGTGCTGATATCCAGACAGGTTTGAAGTAGCACTTCCATCCAGCTGCTGACACCATTGCTAATGCCACTGATAAGAGTCACACAAAAGGGAGCGAAGAAGACAAGAGAAACCCCAGTGATGCATGGACACGTGAAGGTGCCATTTCTTCCCAATATCTAAGTGACAGGGATCAGTCATTCTTCAAAGTCTTTTCTCTTCCTCCCTGCCCCCTCCATTATAATTACAGTAGCAGGTAACAAAAAAAAAATGCCTTGTAAGATGTCCTCCATTATAATTTTCAAAGATCATCAAGGAAAGCCCTGCTCATTTGCAGTGACTCCCCAACCTTCTTCATAACAAGTTTCCTAGAGGAGATATGCTATGAATAAAGATTTTGTCTCAGGGTCATTACAGACTCTCAAGGAGAGGGCTTCTGCCAAGAGTCAGATGATTAAAGATGACACAAAATTAATGATGACACAAAACTAACTCAAGTGAAAAATCCTTCAACATGTTAATTACATCTCCAGGCCTCTCCAAGAATTCATGCCATCTCACTTTTGGATATCATTTTGCCAGTATACCTTCCAGAATGAGTCAGAGGTGAAAATAACTTTTCAGGGAGGCTATCCCTTCGCATTGACATAATATTAATATTTTTTCCACTTCTTCATTTGCAGAGGCAAAGACAGGCACCATTGATAAAGTATTACAAAGCAGAATGCAGACCCCTGTTAAAGTGTTTGGTCCATAAGTGCTACAGAAAAACTATCAGGAAGAGAAGAAAACTGAGAATAAAGAAAGCAAATATATATATATATGTTCAATATCTATGACAAAAAGCAAACCAGCATTTGCTGCTAAAAATCCCTTTCAGAAATCCCTGGGTAAAGTTTGGGATTTGGGTTGTTTTTTTTTTTTGGTGGGTTTTTTTTTTGTTGTTGTTGTTTGTTTTGTTTTTGGTGGGGTTTTTTTGTTTGTTTTGCTTTGGTTTTTTTTTTCCCAATTGGCTGAACAAAATTGGCTGAACAAACAGAAATCCTTATTTTCAGTTTATTAAATGATGACTTTGTTGTCAAGCTGGGGGGATACCTCTGATGAAAGAAGAAGCAAAAAAGAAACCCAAAGGTTTCTTTCTCCACTTCTTGGGAAGTCTGCTTCTGCTTTAATACAGACTGGGAGAAAGAATCTTGGGGAGCAGCTGTAGCTGTAGAGCCACATTTAACTGAACTTTAATAGAAAAGCTAGTAATTTAAATGCAGTACTATTGGTTGTGTAGGCTTGAAGCATTTTTTCTCCTCCTTTCAGCTCCCAAAGGAAATTATCATACTCACAGGATCTCCACCCAAGTTTTCACTGCTATTTTCCAACAGCATTCAGGGTATCACAGCCAACCTTATCAGCAGAGCATTTACAGGAACTAATTAGCCATTAAAGTCATGCCACTTTTATACTGGTATAAATTCAATAGCAACATTTAAGATATAAAAGTGCTTTTACATTGATTGCATTGCATTGATTAATGCATCACATAATGTTTTGCTTCCATTACCATCTTTATTGCTTTCTTTTTTTCTCAGAGCCTGCCTCAGACCACCTGCTACGGTGTCTGAGAGCAGCCTTACTATTGCATCTAAGCCCCAAAGAGTAACAAAGCTGACTCAGACTGACAAAGCCACTGCCACAGAAAGCTGTGCCATGGGCAGGACAAGGATTTGGGATCTACCTGACTGTACAGAAAGCTAAGCTCCCAGGGCAGAAGAACTACTATTTCCCAGGGATTCACTCTCATTTTTTATAAAAGGGATCTCCTATTTGCCATACATGTGCTTAATGTAGTATCCAACCATTTTCTAGGATTGAAGTAAACGTATAAAAACTTGCAATGTGAATTAGAAGCTCCCATCTGTGCATGCAGATGCAGAGGGTGGTTGCCCTCTCTGCCTTCTGGCAGAACAAGGCCACCATGCTTTCAAGGGATAGGGGCATGGGCAGCAGACACTAAACCCTGCCATGCCCTCCTCCACAGGTATCTGACAAGGATTTTTTGGAACAGCAACAAGCTGGAGATGGATGTTATCTGCAGAACTAGAGGAACCTGACAGCACTGATTTTCTCACCTTTCTACACTTTCCCCGAGGACAAACCATTCCACAGTGAAATAACTGAAGCTGTTGCAAAGCCAAAAGATATTTTTCTGCTGTCAGTTAACTTTCCACTGTGTTAAACTATAGGAGGAAAGCAGTTGGGGAATGGACAGAGACATGGTGACCATTAGACACACCAGTACTGTACTGGTCCTACAGCAGCCTGTACATGAAAAGGCACCTCCTCATCACTTGGCCCGTGGAAAAGTTAATCTGCCTCTAAGTAGCACCAGTACAAGGATTAACTTAGAAAAGAGCTTCACCAAGTAACACTGCACTGTGCTGAGTGAAAACCCTGTGCCCTGCTGTGCATGCAGGGGTGAAATACAATGCTCCCCCAGCAAGGCTCAGCCAGGGGCAGGAGCAGGGGGCAAACCCACCCAGAGCAGCCTATTCAAGGCCAGCCAAGGCAGGTCTAGCAGAGACCCCAGAGCGAGCTGAACATCTGGCTCACACGAGGGGGTGAGGAGGTGGTGTGGGGTCCCTGTCAGGACAGGCAGCACCATCCTGCAGCCCACTCCACTCCCACTGCAAACCCTGGCTGGCAGAGCTGGGAAACACCAGTGCCTGCTGTGGTGGTAGCCTGTAACATGGAGGTGCTCACATTTACCTGGTTCACTGGAAGTGTTGTGAGGCTGGATTAAATGATGCTGGAAAACACTGAGGGCACCTGGTACATGAGAACTAAAGCCTGGACACCCTATACTTAGGAGACACAATCTAGATGGATTCATCAGGGAATTTTGCTCTTTAGGTCGTTTTTTCCTCCCAAATTTTAAAAAACCACCAAACCTGCTACATTTGGCAAACTGAAATATTTTCCTAGCAGTATTTTTCGAGCAGTGTTTTCAATTTTTTGTAAAAGAAATCACATTATATTGAACTTCATCTCCTTCAAACTTGTGTTTGCCAAGTCTTCTTTCAGAAAAAATAGCTGCACATTTTTCAACCACAGAAATTATGGATTGCACAGTCCTCTATGGGATGTCAGCATCCAGCAGTCCTCAGATTTCTTTTACTGTTAATTAGTGATCTAATTAACTAGATCCTTAGCCCACTTAAAACACTGTAACAGTAAAAATCCTTCATTCCTATGTCAATACCAAATTCCATTAATAAACACAAGTGGAAATTTTCAGTGAGAAGCAGTAAGCAAAAACCAACCAACCAAACAACCGCTTCCAATAAGGTTTATAATGAAGTTGCATTAAAAGAAATGGTGAAGTTTTTTACTTTATTTTTACATTTTTTCTCCCAAAGGATAAAATGAAAGCAAGAGAAATGCTATTAATACCATTTAAAGTAGAATTTAAATGAAGTTATTTATAATTGGATAAAGAAATTTGTCTTTTTAATGTGTATGCCTTGAAAATTGGCCAGAAAGTCATCTGTGCATTTTACTTCTTGACAGTAATCACTTTCAATATTCTGTAAAGGTACCCAGGAGACAAGCAGAGATGTTTGGTAGTGAACAGTAAAACATAATCAGTCTTCAGGAAGACAGTTAAAATTACTGATCTGTGACACCTCACATGTTCAAGTCAATTAAATATGATTAACGACTACCTGGGCTGATGTGCATTTTGCTCTTTTGGTACATGCACAGGGAAGAAGGAGTGTGGGCATTTACTCACCCTCCTCCTTCATATTCATGTGCAGATGTGTCATGGACTATGAACATATGCTCAGAAAATGTTTTGAAGAGAGGGAAGGAAATGATGAAACCCAGGAAACAACAGAGTACCCTGCTGCCTAAAGATCTGCTAAACTTTTACCAGGGGAAAAATAAAAAATGATCTGGAATTTTTTGTTCCCTTCCTGATGCTGTGAAGGTCACGGTGCCCAAGGGGCAGTGGGGTTTTGCCTACCTGAGCAGGTGGCGGTGGCTGCTGCACGAAGCCCTGGGGCGGCGGCGGCGGCTGCAGCACCTGCTGGGACACCGGAGCTCCTGATCCCGTGAAGCCTCCAGGGGGAAGCTGCTGGCTTGGGGAGGCCATGATGTAACCTGTCTGCTGGGCGGGCTGCTGCAGCATGGGCGAGGGGTACACGGGACCAGAGGGCGACTCGGGGTTGTCTCCTGACGACTGGCGACTCAAGCTCATCTGGCTAAACTGCGCTGTCATGTCATCGCGCTGCGGGGCACAAGGCAGGAGAAGGGGATACAGATGCAGCAGGCACATGAGTTAGCAAAACAAAATTGGCTCAGAGAGTGAGGGGGGAAAGGAATCACTCAGCTCCGATCCATGCCAAACTTTGCAAGGATCTCAGCAAAAATGGAGGCAATTAAAATGAAAATCACTATAAATACTTTGACGAAGACTTCCAGACTGCAAGGTGAATGGCATCATTTGGCAAAAAAGCCAATTATTTTGGCTCTTTCCCCCTGTCACCCTCACCTTTAATTCCAAAATGACAAGTGAACTTTACAGTGTTCAAAAGAAGACATTTTAAATGTAAAGGGCATGGAAATAACATTATTGATACCTCTATCCTCAAATACAGAATTTGTCAGCCAAACACCTGCTGATAATTTCACCTGTGTTTCAAATTTATCCCAAGAGGGATTCAGTAGGATTCAGCTGCAGATCTTTCCTGTTTTGGACTGCTTTGAAAATCCAAGGTTGTAAACATTGAGAAAGTTTAAAAAAAAGCTAAACCTAATGTTGCTATTTCAAGGCTTTTTATTCTGTGTTGAAGAGAAACAAGTTCTATATTTGATTGAAGGGAAAAAAAAAATCTGTGGTAGGAGAAACGTACCATAGAAAGTCAATGGACCTAAGCTTCATTACATGCCAGTAATAATACATGCATTCTGAACTGTATCTGTTCATTCTTGCAAAAAAGATTAATACTATTCTATGCTCTCAAGTTCATTCTGTGAAGGTCAAAGATTTACAAATGTGGGTGTGGTTCTAGGCATCTTCTTTTGTGCCCATATCATAAGACCTTTAAATACTCAACTCAAACTCCATTGTGTGCTAATATGCCAATTACAGATAGGAAATAAGCACCATAAAAATGCTCTTTTTTTAAAAGAAACCTCTTAATATTGTTAGCAGCCCTGTGGTGTTTATTCTCCAAAACCATCCTGCACAAGCATTTAATGTCTGGAAATGTCAAAATGTGTTAAAAACAAAACAGAACAAAATAAAAAGATTGCTTGTGGAAAGCACTTCTGGGACTCACCCTCACATAGAGAGACTCACACTCACAATTGAGAGCAGATGTATGGATCAACGTTTTAAACACTACCGACAGATCATCAGGTGGTCTATGGAAGTAATGCTGTTAACTTTTCTGTCATCCTACATTCATATTCAGACACATGAGTTGTCTCTGTGAAGTTGTTCCTTCAAAAAGCTAGGATAGTCATTATCAGAATGACAAATGACTGCAAAGAGATTCTGCAAGAAACCTCATTGAGCCAGGAATGCCTCTAGATTTTCACAAAAGAGAAAAAAATCTTCAAACACATATAATCAATGTAGTGTTTGTATAATGTAATGTGTATTGAAGATAGTAATTCAGATTAAGTTTCACTATTAAATTAACCAATAAAAATATTAGCTTTCTTGTGACTGTCACTAGGGCAACCTGATATTCCTGCAACAGACTTTTAAAGAGACTTAGCATTAAGATATGCAACTTTTGTTCAGCATGGAATATTTCTTTTCCTTTAAATGGTATCACTAGTCATTAAAAACATTATTTTATCTGCAAGGACCCATTCAGCTTTGTTTACATATCTTACTATAACTGCGTGACATTGGGGAAAAAATAAATCAATCTTAAACAAGATTACTAGACCAAGAGTGAAAAACAAAAGAAAAAAATCTTCTGGTGCCTCTTTAAAATGTCAGCTTCATTTCAGAACAGTATAATCTTAGCCCTGTAAGCACACCAAGCCAGAATCAGACTCCAGAAGAACACTCTATTTATTTTCATTATACGTGTCCATTGGTGCATTGTCACGATGTACAGCACACCACACCTTCTGCAGCTGGTTCAGGGCTATTCTCCTTCCTAAGTCCTCTGATCACCAAGGAATAAATCCAGGCAGTGGATTTAGTATATGGATAAAAGAATATAAAATAATATTTTCTTGAGGTATCTTCTCCTGTCTTTGCGGACACAAAAGAGGAATAACCCAAATCTCAACTATTCAAGTTAGCAATTTAAGGTCACTTGGCATTAAGTGAGGAGACGTAAGCTCCTACCAGCAGGCAGAACAAAATATTTTTCTGAAGGGTCTGCTAGGCAGGTAGAGAGCCCTGCTGCAACATCACCCTTTGGGTTAGGTAACCAGAATCAGTGGGAATGCTCATACAAAATGCCTGTCAGTACCAAAGCAAAAAGGTGAATAGGTATTTAGACAGGGTTCTCATGTGGGACACCTGTTGCAGTGCTCCCCAGAGGCTCTTGGACATACATACTCACACCTCCAACTTCAAGGAAAAAAAAAGAAATAAATCTTTAGTACCACAGAAAACTGCTGTGTTGGAGAGACTGGCAGGAGATGCTGGGGAGGATAAGAAACTGCTGGATATTGGACTGACTGAGAAGATGGCTGCATTGTCTGAACAGGCTGCAAAACAAGCAAAGGGAAAGACAATAAATTCCACCAGAGAAAGATAATAACAAGCACCATCATCACCACCTTTGTTATTGAGAACAAAGATCTCAAATACAGCTCTGAAAATACAGGTGACTCATCACCAGCCTGAGTACAAGAGGTCAAGTACTGTGATTTTAGTCTTCATGTTAGCCTTAAACCGAACAATTATTTATTACTGATATTTCTGCCTCTTTTCGTGGATTTGATGGCTGCTAGATTAAATATAGCCACAGCTATCCCCTCTTACATGTAATATGAGGCAAAGCCAAATTATGATTCCATGTTTAATTTGCAGAGATAAAAATGGAAAGCAGCATAGATTAAGTGTATATTTGAATTTCACTGTTAGTGACTGATTTAACTCCAAGTGTGTCATAGGCAAAGGAATAATGATTGTATAGCTGCTTTGGGAGAACACAAGAGTTTAAAAAATGACAAAGAACAGACTGTGAATTACCAACAGACAGGCCATCAGCTTGGAGCAGATGTTTATCTAAGCAAAAAAACCAATTTTCCACAGCACTATTACCTTGGAATAGCTTTAGTATTCCTTTCATTTTAACCTCTCATATAACTTCTTACAGGTTTGGTATTATCTCTGTCTTCTAAAACTGTGAAGACCAGATCAAGAAATAAGAGCCATAACCATATAAGTCCAAACCCAGTAAAATCAAAGCAACTTCACTGAATTCAAACACTGTATTTCTGTGTAAGCTGGGATGAAGCTGTGCCAAATTATAAAGCTACACAAGAACCAAAGTAGATCTTGGCTGCTCTGTGACTAAGCAGGATATAGGATTCTTGCTTGAGTAGATCCCTCTGCCTGCTCTGCCCTGGGAGAACAGGCATGCAATCCACAAAATTAAGTTTGAACCAGACCCAAACCCTGCTGCCCATGCTCAGCCAGGTCTGGCCATGTGCCACAGCCAGCACAGGGACCAGAGAGCCAACATTGTACTGTGCTCAAACAAAATTGCTCTTCCTGCTGCAGCTTCACAACTTCTAGCTCAGAGCAGGATCACAGCCAGAATATTGGTGAAGGCAGAAAACCAACAAACTGGGCAAAAGTGCTTGGAGAGCACCCATAGATTGGGCTCAATACAACTGGACATGAAAGGGTTTGTAGAGCTCTTGTACCCTATTCTTTGACTCAACTCACTGCTGTCAAAAGAGGAATGTCCCTGGCTCTTTGGAGAGAATTACAGACTGCACTGGTTTGAGAATGAATGGTTCAGCTTCCACTAATGGGTGAATTTTTCAAACTAATTTTATGTAGACAAGCACCAACACGCTTAACAGTACTTTTGAAAATGAAATCATCCTTTAGATAAAATTGAAGATCTAATCTTCCCTCTCCATCTGTTTTATCCATGTTGAAAAGAATGTTGTGACATTTGGTCTAGCTGCATTCCTCCCTTCTTTCCTCTAGGTCATTCTTCATATCCCTAAGAGCTCCTTCTTTTTTCCAGTGACACCACACCTACCTGTGTGACAAGGTGACTTGCCATTTGCTGCTGTGGCTGTTGAACCTGCTGAGGCTGCTGGGGTGAAGGCTGCTGCTGAGACTGTCCCACCACCTGGCTCCTCATTGTCTGCTGGCCACTGGGAGGATTGTATATTGCCGGCGTCCCATCAGGATTTACAAACGGTTGACCTGAAACAAAACGCCCGGCTCTTGCTGGACACTTTTAAGAAAATACTGTTTGCTGTGTGAAAGCAAACAAACTTGCTTTAACTGATAGCTCTTAAGCTGACCTGCTAGAGGAGTAAAGGGTTTGTCACTCACAATATCTCATTACAGTAATTACAGTATCAGACAGCTTTTATTTTTTTCCAGGCAAGAGAGCAGATATTTGTTTCAGCAGGATGATTTTCCAAGGAATGGGTGGAAAGTTACCATGGCTATAAGATGATTCAGATGCTATGGTTACTTGAAATCATTCAGTGATGAATCAATTAACATTAAAATTGAACTTTGGAGCAAACACTGAAGGTAGAGAATGTTCCCTTACATTTTCCTCTAACACAACAGCAGTCAAATGTACACAACTACTTCTGAAACAATACGGTTTGTAGGAAAGGGGGAAAAAACCCAAACCCACTCTTGCTACTGATTTACTTACACATTCTAATAACACAGAGCTGTGCCCTATGCTTAGAGGAGCTAGCACTCCAGTTTTCAAGGAAGAAACACTTAAGGTGTATTTAAGAATCTCTTATATACAAAACAAATTCTTTTCAGAGTTCTACTAAAGCTATTGAACTAATTTTGCTTCAAATAATTAAGCTGGGGAGAATAATCTTGCAAAAGCAATGTTTGTTTAAAATAAAAACTTTACCCAAGTCATTGTCTTGAAAACAAAAAAGAAATGGTATTTCTCAATAGGAAAAATGTTTTCCATGACCTCAAAAAAAAAAAAAAAAAAAGCAATTTTAGCAATGATGTTATAACCTTTGAAGGAGGTAACTAAAGTATGAATATCTGAGATAAAAAGAGAGATCCGGAGACTCTAAGTCTGTAACTTAGAGTAACAGAAATGAACTTCTGATTTGTACCCTACAAAGCATCTCTATCTGTTCTATCTACTCCTCAGCCTTCTAGTTTCTCCTTCCAATGAATCATGGTCAGAAATGCATTAAGAGCACCAGCCAAAGAACCTTGACTTCTGTCTCTCTAAAGCATCAAGTTTCTGGATGAACTCAACACTACAATCATGCTGAGAAAGGTCATGAGTGAGTGGAAAAGAAGCATGGGGCAGCTCTGTGTACTGATTTCCTGATTCTTGCTGTGAACCCACTGGGTGACTACAGCATGGACTCCCAAGCCTTGGGAATCATAAGCCCCAAAAGTACTTAAGAAGACTGAGTGAGCAGGATAACACAGTCCTAAAGCCTGTGTCAGATGCTCAAGGGAAGCTAATAAAGAGCATTTCCTGTGGCTTAATGAAAGATGGCAGAACTGAAAGTCTAAAGTCCCAGCAACACTTTTAAAGATAAAAAAAAGAGAAGACTTCTCATGAAGAAATCTTGAAATCAGAAATGAAAAGGAGAGATCAGAAGGTAACAGGGAAGACATTTGTAAGTTATGAACTGTGACCTTGATAGAAGGGCAAAGATTGCAATGTCATTTCAAGGAGTACCAATGAAAAGTAAATGCTCTTAAATTGTCAGAGGGGTTAAGGAAGAATGTGTCAAGAAGAAACCTTTAAAGGGTAAAGCAGGCTGATGAAATAAGTGAAATGGAGAGCACAGCCACAAAAATGGTTCTTTGCCAAAGCAAGTAAGAAGCTTGACTATCTGAGGAAGGAGAAGGGTAAAGCAGAGGAGAGAAAATAAAGGAAGCTGCAGATATGGAAAAGAAAGTGTGTATTCCCAACATCTGGTAAGGAGCAGAGTTATACTCAGAGCAGGAAGAAATTGACTGCATCTCTGGATGCCATTAGAGGCTTGCACAGTCAGTGACTATGTAGTGTGAAAGGAAGGAAAGATCTTTAAAGGACACGGTGTTATGATCAAAAAGAGAGAAAAAGACTGGAAGTAGCCACTCTGCAAGAGGAGAAGAAAGAGCTAAAGAATGGTATGACACAGGGAAAGAAAATCTATTCATTACAGGAAACAAAGATCTTTTTTCCTTTTCTTTCAACTGTCTTCTCTTCATCTCTGTTTCTGACAGCATCCATCACTTTGATAGTTGATCACAGCATCCAGCAATCTAAATTTCCTCCCCATGGAGCTCCTTTTGTAATGTTTCCCTAATAAGATGCAAAGATTCTGAGCCCAAAGAGCGATAATTTTGCAGCATGTATTTTGCTGCATGTGAAAAACACAGCAGATGCCAAAGTACAGTCTGACTTCCAGCACAAGGTAGCAGCATCAAGCTAGGAGTGTGAGACAAGAATTTCAGGTTTTTAAAGAAATCTGCTCTCTCCATTACTTTATTATGTATATATTTACATGGGAGCTGCAGAAAAGAAACACAAGGTTTGAGAGAAACACAAAGTAATATATACACAAAAATACTTGCTCCCTGAATGTTAACCATACAAACATGCATGGGTTTCCCAATGATGCATCTGCAGACAGAGGCACACAGGGAGGGAAGATAAGGTGCTCTGGTCTAGAGACAGTATTGAAATGCATTATATCTATAGCAGAAAAAAAAAAAAAAGACTCCCTGTGTACCAGGCAAAAATCTGAACTAGCTGCTGCAATTTTCTAAATTGACAAGATAGATGTAGGAGATGTTTCTCTTACATGGCTCTTTCTTTCAAGTGTGGTGAGCTCCAGTCTCTGTCCTTGCCAGGAACAAGCCAAAGAACAATCCTGGCCAGGAACAAGCAGTATCTCTCAGCTGTTTGTGGGCTCCATGCAACATAATTTCCTTTCATTTGTTTCTCAGTCCTGTCACCTGAATTCCAGTTGACTCCTGCCTAGGCCTGATGAGTTTTGTATGGAACTGGACCGTATGGTGGAACACAAAATGTTGTCTTCTGCATTGACCGAGAAATTTCAGTGCTGCAGACAGAACTGTCATCTCCCAGAACAGAAATTAGCAGATGAATATAATGATGGATCTTTTCCTTGCTGACAGGATCAGGCTCTCATGTCAATAATGCAATGGTTTGGAAAAAAGTACACTTAAAGATTAAAGGCTTTAGAAGAGTAAAGGTTTGTGCAAGTTACTAATTCACCTCTCTGAACAGAACTTATCAAACTTACAACATTTGAATCTAAACAAACAAGAACTCCTCCTTGATTTTAAATATGCTGATACATATTGATCAGCCCCAGATATTACCACCTATAAATATCTGTGGTAAGACTAGCTGAGAAGTTTACCAAGGCTGTATTTTCCTTAAAGGCTGCAACTTTCTTGACTGAACTATGGCCAAAAGAATGATTCTTAGTAGTGGACACACAAATAAGCTTTAGGCATTTCCACCAAAATAGTGGAACATAGGGATGTAATACACATAAAATACAAGTTATAAATAAAAATCCCCGAAGAAAAAGTTTCTGAATGTTCTTTTAAGGACTTCGAAAAAAATATTTTGGAGCTTAACCCTCAGCTCTCAGTATAATGGAAGCTACATTTCACTACAGGCTTTCTTGTCTTAAACCCAGCATAACTCAGCTAAGGCTGACAGCACAGCTAGCCGGGGTCACTGGAATAGTCTAAATTAACAAAGAAGCACCACACCCTCAAACTCCCTGAACCTTCTTAACACTGATAGTACAATATGGTGGGGAGGAACAGCATAACATGATCCAGACTTCATCCAGAACAAGGAGGTAACAAATTGCCTTAAGCTTTCATCAAGCACTCAAGTTCAAACTGAAGAGTTTCTGAAGGGCCCACAGCACTTTGGTGCTTGCAAGTGCCTTGTTTGTGAGCTGCAATGATGAAAACTATCAGGAATTTAAGAGTTACATCTTTCTCTTATCACAAACTTCACAATTTAAATACAATTGCTAATCATATAACTCACATAAAATTAATTCTGGAGTGCAGATTCAAAGGCAGCCTTTAACCCTTTTGAAGTTCTGCTGTTAAGCACAATCTCTAAGAGTGTGACTTTTTATTTTGGTTGCACCATATCTCAGCATGCTTGATATAGAAGAGCATCTGTCCTTATTGATGCTAATGGGATCTTAGAGGATTCACTGAGAGCCATGGAGCACCAGGACTGCTGAATGATGAATATCCTGTCTGGGATGGAGCAAGAGTGTATTGTATCATTTCCCACCAGCTATGCCACAACAGCCTCAGAAATCAAATCTAGCTTTGCCTGCACATTTGAAAACAACAATTTGCCAAACATCATTTCAACGTATATTTGCTCATAAAGTGCCTCCAGAAAAATATGTCTGGAAACAAGAAACCTGCCAGTTCACCAGCTGACATCAGAAACCCCAAAGGGCAGAATCAGGCAGGAGGGAGCTGTACTGACCTGTGTGCGGGTTGAGAAGGATACTGCCAGGAGGTATCCCTGCAGCTTCAAGTGGAAGAATGATATAGCTGGTGTTGCTGGGGGCCACCTGGCCACTCATCCCATTCTCAGGGTAGGACACACTGCCTGAAGAATTGGCTGTCACCCCAGGGACGAGAGATGCACTTTGGAGAGGCTGATGTATTCGTGACAGTGATCCTGAGGAGCCAGCGCTGCTGGAAGACTCTGAGCCTAACAGGGAGACACAAGCACAGCAGGAAGGGGGAGGTTACAAGGGACACCATTCCCCACCAGACAGGGCACATACAAGGACAACCTTCACAGACTGCAAAGGGATGCACCACTCCATGCCCAGCTGGTAGGAGCAGGATTTTCACTCCCTGCTGAACCCAGTACCCAGTGGTAATTTTCACAATCCAAAAACCCACTTTCCTCATGCAACATCAGCTTCCCTCCAGCCAATAAACAGATTTACCAAAGAGGAACACTAAATCCTCAGCATGTATTTATAATACCAAGGTATCAGTTCATAAGGCATAAAAACGAAACACAGTGTTTATAAATAAAAAAAAAACAAACAAAAATGGAACACAAAAAAAAATTGCCTAACATTTTCTGCAAAGCAACAACAACTGAGTTATCAGTCCAGTCACAAGGTAGCTGTGTAATATCCATATTAACTTAAAGCTACCTAAGATACTACCTAAGACTTTTGCCACTTTAGTTTTTCAGCATCAAACCTATTAAAACTGAACAATCAAGATAAATCGACTGTGCTAAAACACATTTGTGCCTGGAAGAATGGGAAGACACATTGTTTTAACCCCCAAAAATAATATTCAAACTTCTGAGATACTACTTGATTAGATTGCAATTTGCTTCACAGAAAAAAGACAAGAATTTCTGAGAGCATAAGGCTCAGGTGATCAGCTTCCCTAAAGCAGGATGGTATGGATGCTTGCTCCACAGAGCAAAGTATGTTTGAATTGCAACTTCTTTCATTTTACTTGAGTCCACTGTCTATGCATCTAACCTCCACAGTGTTCATCTGCAGGTACAGACTAAAAGCAAGGGCAGAATTCAGACTTCAGTTTAGCAAACCTCTTTGAGGCAAATTATATCCTTTCAGATATGGGATACTGCAGGTGGACCCTGTAGTGAACTGCTTAGAGGTTCAAACTCATTTTCAGTCAAATGCATTTGAAATTCATTTATTTTCTCATATTTAGAGAAATGAGAGCAGAAGAGGTTTCTTCCGAAGAAATCATGCCACCATCCTGTTACTTAACAGAGGATTTTTCCACAGATTACTGCAGGTTGCTATGTAACACACATTTTTTTATCCATCTTCTTCAAACTTTGGGTTCATACAGCAATCACTACAGACACAGTCATCTCTATGAGCAGTGCATTATTTGCCATAAGTAGGACCCTACATCTGCTTCCCTGGTATTTAATCAAGAAAGTAATAGAGATTTCCAAAGAATTTTTTTTTGTTTCATTAAATAAGTCTTACAATAAAACATCAAAGTTGTACTAGTTGCCATATTTTTCCTTTCCTCACAGACTGAGATTAGAAATTTAGAAATATTATTCCTGAACAAATAGTTTTATTTAATTGCAGATTCCTGTGTTTCTACAAATTGCAGTTATTCCTAGAGGCCATCCTCATCATGCTGCAAGTGGTATTTGGCATCTTCCTTGCATCTGCAAATGCAACTTCTGGAGTTCAATTTTCCTTCCACAAGTATTTCCCTGGCCTTTCTACACACGCCTCATGTTGTTTCGTTGAGTTCTCTCTTTACTTTCTCCTCTTTTCCTTCACCTTTTGAATTCACTGTGTCAGGAAGCTGCCTGGAGATGGTAATGGTGATGAGATTTCTTAAACCTCTCACTATTTCTAAGGGTGTGTTTGAGTAGTACCAAGCCTGAGTTCAGACTCTCTCCGCTTTTTGTGCCATTCCAATGAAACGCTATCGGCACAAAAGAAGATTGCAGCTCTGACATTCAATTGTTTTGGTTTTTTCTTTCCTCCCTTTCTGCTGTTCTTATGGCAGAATTATGTATTGATCTACGCCAGCTTCTGAATGATAAAAGCCAGGGGACTGCAATGAATTCCGGTGTACTCATCACATGGCATGGAAGCAGTGGAAAACACTTTGAGGCTATCCCCACACGTAGGTCAAGCTGATAGCTTTGAAATGTCTGCCTTAAAAGATGCAAGATCTGCTCTCCCATGTCAGCAGATCAAGTTAGTGATTTTGAAATAACACAAGTAAGTCACAAAACCGTATCAAGAATTTTCTGAATTTAAAAAAGAAAAAAAAATTCCAGAAATTACTGCTGTATCAATTTTCCCCCCATTTATACCGAATAAGAATGATCTACTTTATTTAGTTCCATTATTGTAACTTATTTCCTATAATTTTAAGTCTAGACATATTAAGCCAAGTAAATTCCAACACTAATATTTGGAAATTAACACCAATTAATCTTGTCTTTGTAGCTCTGATTAGCTGTTTTCACGCTGCCTGAATTTGGAATGGGAAATCACTTTATAATGAATTCATTACTGTAAAAAAGGGGAAAAAATAAACTATCTGACTTTATTCAGATTCATATTAAAAGATGTCTTGCAAAAGACTTCTGAAAGGAACTTGGACTAAATGAGATTTTTGCCCCCATTACACAATCTAACCTCTTTTTTCAGCATGTAATGATGGATAGTTCTTCTAGATTATTCTATAATTTTCTTGCTGTTTCACAGTTGAGATAATAGTAACCTTCACATTCTCATCACTTTCCATTAATATATTTTTTAAATATTCTGAGAGATACAGAAGTTCAAAGAGCTGTAAAGAAAAAGAGACAGAAAAACCACCAAAAATGCTTAATAGCTTAGAGAGTTTGCAGAGGGAGAGCATGGAAATACCATTAATTTTCCAATATTCTAAGCAAAAGTGAGTGATGCAACATGTCCTGCTCTATTTTCCTTGGATCAGCATTCAGTATCTGATGACTTTGAACATCTCTGCTCATCTCACCTTTCAAGTCCAAGGCAAATTTCTCCTTTCTTATCAACTACACTCTCAAATCTATCCACTGCTTACTCTAGACCATCATCATTTTCAGGAACAATAGAACTGGAATGGAATACTGCAAGTATTTTTGTCTTGGATATAGATTCCTGGATTAGAAATATTTATTTGCTACTTCTGTAAGTCTTGCCTTTCTCTATGCAACAATATATTTTGTGATCTTTTAATGAAATGGCACGTGCTCATGTGAACATGATTATTTCTCTCTAAGCTGCACTTCTAAAAATAAAACTGATGCTTCAGCACAGTCAGTGGGGAAGATTATGACTGGAAGCAGTTGGCTCGTGACCTGCTGCCCATACATCAATATTCTGACAGTTTTTGCTGGACTTACAAGACTCATCAGGCTAATGCCTAATTCAAGTAAATTATAAAGAAGGAAAAATCCAGTTCCAAAACTCAAAAGAAAAAATATAATATACAGGACACTTTATTTAAGAAACCCCAAAACCTAAACAACAAACCAAACAGCAAAGGAAGGTTAATGTATTAAAATGCCTGCAGTAATGTATTGAAATGCCTTTCCCAACAGGAGTGGCAATGAGCACCTAACAGGAGAGATTAGACTGGGTCTCAGATTACTTGGAGCCCTGCCAAGGAAACTAATGATCCCTACAGATCTGTATCAACACAGCTAATACCCCAATGCAACCAGCTTTGTACAACTAAGAGGGAAAGAAATACACTCTGACAGATGTGCATTCCACTGAATGGAAAATGCATTAGGAGAAGCAAAAGGTGCAATAGCTACTACTTTTAAGCCTCCCAACAATAATCTAACTAGATATGTAGATACACATAGAACATATATTTGAAACACATCTTTTCTCATGATGTTAAAACCTGTTGCAATGTGTCAGTGACAATAACGTGGTAGTTGATATGCTAGATTTTCTCTTTTTAGGTGTTACAGACTGAACATGTACATCATTGTGCCCCTACAGAGACAACCATTTCACTTACCACTCTTAAACAACCCTGGAAACGTTACTGTATTACTAGAAAGCTAAATAAACCAACATTTTACATGATGTCCTAAATAATAGGAAGGCAATCCAATTGAAATTTGTTAAATTATTAACTCCCCACTTGATATTGAATTATAGCTTAGAACATCTCTTTGTACCTACTGAACTACAGAATAACAGAGAAAGAAATTTTATTTGCATTGTACAATCTGTGCTTTTCAGTAGAACAGGGTTTGCTAAACAATCAACAGGTGCATGAAAATAACCATCAAAACCAATAAGATAACCATGTAATGGGTTTCAAACAGCCCCTTTTGTAAAGTTTGCAAAAATGAAGTAACATAATTCCTTTGCTAAGCTCCAATTCCTGTGCAGCTGAAAACAATAAAGTCTAAGACTAATTGACACTACTGGACTCTACTGCAGAGAACAGCATGTTCTGTGATCTCTCTGTGAGCCTAAGGGGAAGCTAACATCTTTCTGAGATTCAGTTCCTGCTTGTTTGCTATGTACCATTAATTACTGATTTATCACAGGTTAGGGGCAGAACATTTAATTTTGGTGACAATATGAAAAGCGATCCAGAAAGGCCACAATGTTAATACTGCATCACTGTATACCCTGTTGAAGGCAGCTGGGAGCCTTCTGTAAAAACCCTGAAAATTTTACTACTCCTATGCTCAGGAAGAGTGTTTAACAATGCTTCTGGATGACTGCCATATATAGAGAGAATAATTTTCACATTGGAAGAGACCGTAAATATTTTCCGTCATTTAGCCAATGAAGAACATTTTGACCAACTAATGATTTCACACTGTTTCAATACAAATTTAATGCAAGACAAAAATACTTTAAATTTATTACTGTGAACCATAAAGCTCTTCAGAGAAAAGTATTTCTGTAGGAGAACTGGGACAGATTGGTGCCTAGCAGACACTGGCATGCTACCAGGGCAGCATGTCTAACATGGGTAGCAACACCTCTGCAATTCCATTTCAACTACTGTAGTGAACACAAGGGAAAAAAACCAAAACAAAACTAAATCACCCAAAATAAAAACATGATCAACCTTTAAATGTCTACTGAACTACAGAACACCAGGGCTGCCTATGGCAAAAGTAGAAAGTAATGAGGATAGTATGCAAAACATTCGCTATCAAGAATC